ATTAAAATTAATTATTTATGTATTTTAGAATATTATTAAATTAATAATTATTAATAATAATTAATTTAATAATTTAAATTAATATTATTAATAATTTTATTATTATATATTTAATTAAATAATTTAAATTAAATATTGTTACTTTAAAATAATAATAATTATTATTATTATTATATATTTAATAATATATAAATTTATTATAAATATTTAATTATTAAACCATATGCACGTGTGTACTCGAGTTACGTTAGGTGCATTGAAACAACCTAACTCAAGAAATCTTTAATATGGAATTTCGGTTACAGTTATATCAGAAGACAACACTTACACCATCATCATCATCATCATCATCATCATCATCATTCAGAAATATCGTAAAAGAAATGTGGACGAACGTGTAGTCACGAAAAGTGAAGACTATTACACACATAAGTTTAAAATATATATATATATAGTAAAAGAGAGTGTAACACACACACGTGCTTGACGATACAACAAAGTACCGATGCGTATGAGTATGGTGTATAGTTATGTGCATCGAATATACTAGAGGAAGTGAAAGAGAATAGAAAGACTGTTAGAACTAACTGTAATTCACTTATAGTCCTACTTTCGGCTTCCTTTTTCTTCTCTACTAACTTCTACAATGATTATTATACACACGTACAAAGTAACTGGTTAAAAAATTCATGTATGTTAACTTTGTATTTTTTTGTTCTTTCAATCTTTACACACAATTATATTTATTAGAATAATCAAATTAGAATAATTCATAATTATTCTATATATATATATATATATGTAAGAAAATGTTAAATAAATATTAACAATAATAAATTATGTATACAAAATCGAAACATTTATATCGGAATTATTTTAAGCTACTTTGCACAACGTGTTCTATTTTAAACTATTATACTTTGTAATATTTGCACAAAGATATTTGTTAAAATAATTAAATTATAATAATTAAGAAATATTCTATATATGCAATGGTATATAATTTTTAATATAAGACAAAAATTAAACAAATATTAACAATATAATAAATTATTTATATAAAATCTTATATATAGAAATATTTTAAGCTACTTTGCACAACGTGTTCTCTTCCAAACTATTATACTTTGTAATATTTGCACAAAGATATTTATTGTGGAATAATTAAATTATAATAATCTATATATTCTATATATTTTAATATTATAAATAATTAATATTTAATATTTATAATTATTTTTTAATTAATTTATAATCAATTTATTAAATATAAAATAAATTTTTATATAGAACTTAATTTATATAATTAATTTATTATATATAAAATTATAATTTTAATAAAAAAACAAAAGATCAAACAAATATTAACAATATTATAAATTATTTATACAAAATCATATATCGAAATACTTTAAGCTACTTGCACAACGTGTTCTCTTTCAAACTATTATACTTTGTAATATTTGCACAATATTATTTATTTAAATAATTAAATTAGAATAATCCATAAAAATTCTATATATGTAAACAAAAATATTAAACAAATATTAACAATAATAAATCATGCATACAAAATCATATATTGAAATACTTTAAGCTACTTGCACAACGTGTTCTCTTTCAAACTATAATACTTTTTAGTATTATTACATAGAATGCGAGTGAGTGAGACAGAGAGAGAGAGAGAGAGAGAAAGAAATAACGACAGAAGGCTCCTTTACCTTCCCCATTCGTTCGTCCTTGAACCCTTCCCACCTACCGACCTTCTTTTTACGTTTCACCCTCCATCTTTTCGAAAAGAGAGACCCATTCTCGAGGCGACAAAGCGTCGTGTTACTCCCGAACCCCTCTTTACTTC